ACCATATGGCGGCCACGGCAGAATTCGAACCTGCGAATCTTCTGCTGCGGTTAGCGGGCAACCTAGGTCGTAAATGCCTGGCACTTTGATTCGAGATTATGGCGTCGAGAATCAAGAGCAATTTCATGGACCTTCTCAAGACCAAGCGAAACTCAAGCTTCTCAGATTTATTTACATTCGGGCAACAGGATGGTTGAGCCGACATTTTCGCGTCTAAATCATCAAACTTGGCAGGTACTGCTACTGAATCCAGACGACGACGGAGATGCCAAGAAGGCAGATTATTTGCAGACACAAAAATTCAGTTAACGCCTAACACCGCTGCTTATAAAGAAAGTGTCGAAAGTGAATCGATAAAAAGGATCAAGTCGTTGTACCATTACGATCAACTATCCGATGTCGGTGTCGCTCTCGCATATACATTGTCTCGTCTCGTTGCAGAATCTTCCACACACATAATTTACTGTGAGAAAACCTTTGCCACGCTACCGCTGAAATACAATCTCAGCATGGACCCCGGACTCACCTCCGATTTTGACATAAAGTCTATAGATGCCATTCGTAACACCATGACATCCAATGCGCCGACTCTCGCCACTGGCCTCCAGTCTATTATAGAAGGCGACTGTTGCATCCAGATCAAAACGTTACTCGAGATCAGATTGTCGTTTTATGGAATTATACTACCTGCACTCGGCCTCAATGTTGCGGACCGACTCGGCATCTCAGGTGAGAACCTGGCGTATCTGTTCACATGTGATATCACAGCAGCCGGTTGTACCACCTTTCCTTTTTAGACTCGACTTTCAGAACGACGAGTATAGAAAAGCTCGAGGTCTATTGAACAGGGCGAAAGATCAATGATGGATCGTTCCGTTACTGTCTGTTGTTCAATGCCGAGTACATGTTAAGCCTATTGGGGCTAAACATAAGGCAACTTCTTTTCTGTGGATGTATATCCAGCGCAACCTGACGGGAAAGATGTCAGCCGATGCGGTAAGAGATAGCGATCATGTTTTCACCATTGCTTCCCAATATGCATACGCCGCTTCGTCCTATCTAGTCGAAAAACACGACGGTCATCCAAAGAAGTCATCATTTTTGGTTTCAAAATCGCGTATAGCTCCAAGGAAACCTCTGATGACGATTCCAAAATTAGAGCTCTCAGCTCTGGTTATCGGAGCGAATCTTCTTCACTACCTGAAACTTCATTTAGACATTGTTATCGATCGAACCTTCTTATGGTCGGATAGCAGGGTCGCACTCGCTTGGACACAATCAGAGAAGGACCTACCAATATTCATTCGCAACCGCGTTCGGACCATAAGAGATAAAGCGTCAGAAGCCGTCATTCGTCATGTTCCAGGCTCAATGAACCCCGCAGATATAGCTAGTCGAGGAGCTATGGATAACTAAGCCAGCTATGGATAACTAAGCATCCAACAGTCTCTGGTGGAATGGGCCCGAATTTTTGCTCAAAGAGGACAACTTATGGCCGGACGACGAAAAAGAACTCGTTTCCAAACTTGAGCAGTTATGCTGTGCTACAACCAGAGAACACTCTCCGAGCGTTATTAACTCGGAAAGATACAGCAAATAGACGCAATCTCGGACTGCGCTGTCATCATCCTCACATTTAATGCACGACTTTTACCGACTCTATTTCTACTGCTGTACACTACTTTGAAAGTACAGCATTAGAAATACGTACCAGAGCAACGATCGCTCTGTTCAGAATGGCACAGATGGAAAGTCCTCCAAACAGGGATCTTCGCTACCAACTATCCCTCTTCGAATGTAAGAAGAATCATCTTCTACGAGTCTCTACGAGGATAAACAACTCCGCTCTACCACAGGATGCGAAAGAACCGATTTTCCTTCCGAGGAAAAGCAACATCACGTCGCTCTACATTCTACGTTCATGAGAAGAACCATCACTGTGGCACAGAGCAAACATGTTGCTCTTCGTCAGTCTGTCTGGATACCGAAAGGACGATCAACAGTCAAACGTGTCATCAACAACCGCTGTTACGTATGCAAAATGCTCAAAGCGAAACCCGTGAATCCGCCTGCCTATCCTTTCGAAAACTTCAGGACTGGATGTTATGGGACCAGTGAAATACAGATCTATCGAAGGAGGAATCAATAAATGCTGGTTCTTGCTCATAACGTGTCTCAACTGCCGCGCCATCGTTGTCGACGTAATCCACAGATTATCATCAACTACCTTTCTTCATCATCTCCGACGGTTCATTGCCACATATGGATGCCCGAAAAGGATTCTATGCGACAACGCACCTGCATTCAAGTCTTTCGCAGAAGCCCAATCAGAGGAGCCGATTTGTGAGAAAGAAGACAGAGACCTGATGGATTACTGTGCAACCAACAGAATTCAGTTCAAGTTCATTCCGGCGTTCAGTCCATGGCAAGGAGGCGTGTACGAAAGGATGGTAGCCATCTTCAAAACGTCTTTCACACACGCTACAGGTCATCGAATACTACCCTTGGAAACCCTGGAGACACTCGTCAAAGAATCCGAAGCCATTTGCAACTCAAGGCCACTTACATACGTAAACGATCAAGCGGACTTCATACCACTCAGACCAGTAGATTTTATACGCCCTTCAGCGCTTCTTTCAGGACTGTCTCCTAAATTGAGATGAAGGATGGAAACCTCGATACACAACAAAGGGATCACCTCATTAGAGACTGGAAGTGCTTCATCTTCCTCTGGAACATGGAGAATGAGTACCTCACGTGCCTCCGTGAACGCCATCAGACAACACATCCCCATCCAAGGTCGTACCAAACGAAAGTCCGACCCATGGAGAATATGTGCTGATTCACGATAGCGACCATCCGAGAGGGACGTGGAAAATGGGACAAATTTGTGGATCAACCGACGATTATTTGCGGTCAGTTCAAATACGTCTACCATCCCAACGAGTGATCACCAGACCAATTAACCTCATCAGTCGCTTCGAAATCGACTCCGAACCAATCGACAGCACTCATCCTTCAACCCGAGCAGAAGAGGAGATGTGAATACGATACCTTCCCATCTACGGTCACACGTTCCAAAAGAAGACAAACACCACTACAGAATCTACTTTCCGCCTCTCGCCTTCCTCATCGTTGGTTGGTGCCCACGTCTTTCGAACGTCACTCAAGGATTGTATGGGTACAGGCGACTTCATGTATGTCAATTCGGAAGGAAAAGGCTTCCTTCAACACCGCCGTACAAAGGAACATCTCTTTTCTGAGAGAAGCATCAGTGCTCCTCCGATGTCGACAAATTCTGCGTTATGACTCACCAATAGCGCTATCTACGTGGGACTACACTACGTCGACGCCAACCACTATCGCAATAAAGGCATGGGGCACAACTACACGGGAGTTTACCAACCTATTCAGGAAGTCCAAGCCGCAATTGTTTTCCATGAGGACCAATTGCTCCAGGGAGGAGTAACGATTGAAGCCGATCGAGAAGTAAGTGCGATGGAAGCATGCATTTCGCGTTAGTACTGCTACTAAATATGCCTAAAAAATACTACTAAAACGCTGCTTAAATGTGCTGTTCCCTACGGAACTAGTTCTTCAAGTACACCGTTACGATCGAGGTTTAGAAGAACGGACAACGCTGCCAAGACTTCTTCAAACACATGCCCTGCTTAATCCAATGCGCGAGATCCTTTCGCTGCCAACATCTGTCTGGCAAAAGATCTTACAACACGCAGTTTTGAAACCTCCCGCACACTATATAGCGCGCTCACGCTTCGGATCGGATGCGCGCAAATCTCTTTTGGCAGCTGGAGATGGCAAAACGTCAAAGCGCCCCTCGTTTCCCTGCAAGCGCAGCACGACTGTTCCGATCACGGAGGCATCAACTCTGAAGGATGCTACTCGTGCCTACTCGGTGGTAGGGTCACCATCGTGTGCTATTCCAGTGAGGGATCAAACGACAGCCGACACATTTGTGACAAACAGCAACAAATCTCCTTTTGAACCAGGAGTGGCAAAATGTACAGCAATTGCTGTTCCAATCCTCGCATCACCGTCAGTCAACACGAATTGCACCATCTCCTGCCCCGAAGGGGAATCCAGCTTCCAAATCAGCGGCGTTCTCGACTACGTGAACGACGCAAGCTTCCAAGACGAAAGCTCCTTCAGCAGCGTAGAGAACTTCGATCATTCAGGCAACCCTATCACGGCAGCGGTCAACTTGATATCATCACTTCCGAGCAAAACCTACATTATTTGTAACCTAAGCATATTTGCAGTCTCGAAGATTCCCCTGACTGCTATAATCGTTGTAATGTCTCTAAATTGGCATATGTTTTATTAACAGCTTCATTTCTAAAAACAAAGAAGCGAACCTAATGCTTCCCGGGAATCTATCTGATCGATAATATTTTTTTAGAAAATGTCCATGAATCATTTCCCATCTAGGATTGAATCACTTTCCACAACATAGACAATGTTTAAGTTCATACTTATTAATAATTTTGAAAGTCGTGTAGAATAAGTGACGCATCAAGAAGGTTGACTAAAAATATTTTTATGATCTCAAATAGTTAGCATAACAAAAACCCCCTCAGTGCATATTATGTTCGGTTTTGTACCACGGAATAAAGCTTCAACTCGCTTCGACCATATAGCTTGGTGACCAATAAAACTTGGAAATGAAAGCAAGTCGCGAGGGTTCGAAAAAGCCGCCTAAAAAGGGAAACAAAGCTTAGTAGGCCCGTCAACGTCCAACCAAGGTCCACCTCATGGGCACGGATTTAGGCAAGAAGTGTAGAAAGGTGGAAAGTGCAGCGTATCTCAAGCGGTCGCGAACAAGCGCTGCTTACACAGAAGGGAGTTTTCCATCACTCCTAATCAGGGAATAGAAATGGACGTAACTTTCATGCTGCACCAGTTCGACCTGGTAAGAATGAACTGTGAGGATTTCGAAACTTCACAAAAATTGGGGAAGTAAGGTATGTAGTGGCCACGACAGTATTTTAAGGACTAATAGTCCATTAGAGCATGTGTGTTGGCCATCTTACTGCAGTGGTTACCATACCCTACTAGCAACAAAACCCGATATCTCGGACGAGTGAATAAATGAGATGGAGGTTTGGAAAAGGGGTGAGACCACCCTCTGCTGCAGTCGACGAGCGTCTATAATGTGAGGACTGAATAAGGATTAAATCATCTCATGAGCGAAGGTGATAGTGTTCGGATAGCACGAGATAATGTTGTTTGTTTGCATATTAAAGGCGACATAACTTTGTTGACAGATATCAGGAGTAGATACTTTAATCACCTTAATTTTTAATAGTCAAATCAAGTATTTCCACACTGTAATAATGACTGCCTATTACTCGTACACAGAAAAACCATGCACGTACATACTTCAATGCGGTTTTGCATGAAAAATACTGCTGTCTCTCCATCACTGGACAACTTTGAGAAAATTGCGAAACTGCGGATAGAAGAAAGTATACGTATTGATATGAAGAATCGCGGAATTGAGATAAACGCGGAAATAAGGGTTCTGTATAGTGAGCGATGGACAAACTTGATAGGGAATGACTGCTCAGCCTCGGCCCTGGAGGATCTTGATTCTGCTAAATTTCGGCATTTCTCAGATTCTGTGTTTCTGCATTTCTCCAAGTTCCGCGGTCTTCCCAATCGATGAGTATACTTTCTTCTATCCACAGTTTCGTCATTTCTTCCGATTCGTGTATGAAGTTAGCTTCAAGGGTCATGCGAAAATGAAGCACGGAAAGTTGGTTGGTTGCTCAAGCGAAAAATGCATCAGAAAAATCCAACCGAACATCTAAAATCCATTTTTGAAGGAAAAGTATTCCTGTAGACATAACCAGACGGTGCCTGAACTCATAGCCTTGAGGAATACTTTACGCGTTGCGTCAAATTTAGGGTCAGCGAAATATCAACAAAGATTTCCTACGCCGTAGGGTGCTCTGGAGATGATATAGCGATCTTGTACAGAACTGGCTATTTCTCCTATTCCAGTGGATTCTCGATCTCCTTCCGCTATTTTTCGAAAACTTCGAAGTTTAGCTGGTGGTATGTTCGGTTGACAATCTTCTTCTGCGATGACGTTCGATTTGATCATCAGAAGCATCATGAGGGATTACGGTAGCGGGCAACACAAAACCGCAAAAACCACCATGAATACGTGGACGCTGACGTCTTTATGAATAAGTTTTGTAATTAAGAAATCCTCAGGATAAAAAAATTCGGTGTTTACTCTAGCCACTTTAGATATTCAGCACAAGGGGATGAATAGGAAGTACCCATTGGTATAAGCAGATTGGGTGTTTTCAAATAGCTTTGAGGCCGGATTTGCCCGGATTGTATAGCAGATTCCTAAAGCGCTTTGTGGTGATCCGCAGAGAATCTTATACGAGATAATTCGAAATATCTTTCACACTTGAAGTGCGTAAGACAACGAAAAATTATTTGAAAGTGGGGCACGTGTAACGCTGCGAGGCGCGAATATCATTTCTGGGCGGGGCATGTACGCTGAAGCA